GTATTGTATTCAACAAGACTTCTAATGTTAAAATAAATAACAATGGGGATCACGGACAACCTTGTCTTGTTCCTTTTTCAATATTAAAATCTGTTGTCAAACTTCCATTAATAATAATATGTGCCTTTTGTTCTTGATAAATTGCTGAAACCGCCTGTATAAATTGATCCCCAAAGTCCATCTTTTTTAAAGTCTTTAATAGAAAATTCCAATCCACTCTATCAAAGGCCTTCTCCGCATTCAAGAAAACCAGCACTGCAGGGATCTGTTTGTTCTTCTCAAGATATTCCAATAAATCTATAACTTGCCTTACGTTGTCCTTCATGTATCTGCCTTCTATAAATCCCGCTTGGTCACAATGAATCACCTCTTGAATAACCGGCATCAACCTGTTGGTTAATACTTTTGCAAATATTTTATAGTCATTATTCAGAAGAGATATTGGTCTAAAATTCTCTGGTTTTTTAGGACCTGTTTGCTCTTTCGGTATCAATGAAATATAAGCTGTTTTCCATGATGGGGGTATTTTACCCTCTTGTTGTATACTACAAAATAAATCTTTAAGATGCTCAATCATTTCTGCTTGTAAAGTTTTATAGTACACCGCAGTTAAACCATCCGTCCCAGGAGCTTTAGCTGTTTTCAATTGTTTAATTGCGCCAATAATCTCCTCGGTTGTTATAGGATAGTTCAGTCTCTCCTTTTGTTGATTGGTAATTTTTGTAACTCTTTTATTTTCTAAATATTCTTCTATAAGTCCATTCTGTGTGTTATCTTTGGCATATAATTTAGTGTAATAATCTACAAAAACTTCTTTAATTAATTTTTGTTGAGAAATTTCCTTCCCTCCAATATCAATACTATCAATAATCCGTGTACTCTGCTTCTTCCTTAGTGTATAAGCCAACCATCTGCCCAGTTTGTTAGCGTTGCAAAATGTGTTATGTTTCGCAAATTGTAAATTTGTTGCTGTTTGTTCCGCCATAAGCATTTGAAATTGATCTTTCAGAAGTTTTATAGCTCCTCGTATTCTTTCATCTGTTGGATTTTTTATAAGTAGCTGTTCTTTATTCTTTATTTCTGCTTCAATTTCAGATCTTTTCTTTTGTCTATTCAGTTTGTGTTTAGAGTTCATATGAATGAGTACCCCTCTCATATACGCTTTACTCGCATCCCACACAATTTCAATAAGGGTACCCTTATTCAAATTCATTTCAAAAAATTCTTTCATCTGCTTTTTAAGTTCTATTATATTTTTTTCATATCTAAACAGATTTTCATTTAGTCTCCATGATCTTCTCTCACTCTTTTCCAGCTCAATTTCTATCCATACCGGGCTATGGTCAATTAGAGTCCTTGGAAAAATCTTTGTTCTTTTTGTTTTTACAAGTAAATCAGTTGATAGTAAAACAAAATCAATCCTAGAGAAAGACCTATGTCTATCTGAGAAGAAAGTAAAGTCCAATTCTTTTGGATTATGTATTCTCCAAATGCCTTTTAATTCCAAATTTTCTTTCATATCAAAAAAAGTCTGTGGCAGTTTAATCCTTGACTTCGCCGAACTCTTTTTATCTATTTTTAAATCAATTACTCCATTCCAATCTCCCATGATTAAAATAGATCTATAGTCCCATTGCAATATTTTAGAATGCAAAGTTTTGTAAAAATTATCCTGTTGTTGGTTAGGAGCATAAATTCCAATCACTAAAATTGGAGCAGTTGCTGTGTACAGTTCAATTGCTATAAACCTGCCACCTTCATCTGCTTCTATAATTTTAGCTGACAATCTTTTATTTATATAAATAACCACACCATTCTTTTTTTCCACACTTGAGGCTATGAAAAATGTATTCCTAATCTTGAATTTATCAGATATTTTTGATCTTTTGTTCTAACATGAGTTTCTTGTAAACAAATTATATCATTATTAAATTGTCTCAGATATGTAAATAATTTCTTCCTTTTCTGTGGTGAGTTCAGTCCATTCACATTCCAAGATAAGATCTTAATCGTCATGTACACTTTTTTGAAGCGGCGAGCAGAATTGCCGAAGATCTTCCGAATCGGTAGTCTTTGGCTTTGCTCCCCCCATGGCTTCACATTCTTGTCTGTTGCTCTTGGCTCCTTTCTTATATTGTTGTGGCTTGGGCCTTTCCTGTTGTTGTCTTTCTTTAAGTTGCTTAGAAATTGCTTGAGTTACACGCTGATCTTTAGCTTCAGCCATCCGGGCTAGGTCCAAAGCCACATCTCTTGTAGTCTTAAGTGGTTCAATCACAATTTTCGAAGGAAGGTCTAGCAGGGGCTCCTCCAGAAAACCTCCTGTAGCTCCCTGCATTTCCATTACCTCTGGTTCCACCTGTTTAAGCTGCTCTTCCATCTCTTGCTGAAGTTGTTTCTCCTTATCACTCTCCTTTATCTCCAACACAGTAGATGTACGTAGGGATGGCGAGCTCCTTTTAAAAACATTAGAATAAAATTCTTCCGCCTTTTCAACAGTGTTTAATTGATATCTTTCTCCATTATACCTCAGGATTATACCAGTTGGGGCATCCCACCAAAATGGAATTTGTTGTTTTTTTAGTTCGTTCACCAAAAATCCAAAGTCCTTTGTATCTTTTAACATCTTAGGTGGTAGTTCTTTATAAACTCCTATCTCTCTTCCCTCCACTTGGACAGTAGAGAGAAAAGACTTTTGCAAAATATCATTTCTCATTCTTCTGTCTGTAAAATATATTACCACATCTCTAGGCAATTGTCTTTGTCTGGCCACCCACGAATTCACTCTGTAGATTTTATCAATTTTGCAAAAAATCTCTTCAGGGCTAATCTTTAAAAACACAGCAAGAGCATCAGAACAAATCTGTCTCAAATCTTGTCTATCATTCTCTTTTATGCCTCTCAGCCTTATGGCAAATTCCATTGACCTGAACTGCATCATTGTAATTTCATTTTCAAATCTCTGCATTTTATTGTCAACATCATAAATTTTATAATCAGTCTCCTTCATTTTGACATCCATTTCTGATTTAAATTCTTCCACCTTAGCATCCGTTTTAATAATTGCTTCTGATAGTCCAGTCATTAATTTATTAGTCACCTTATCATACTTTTCTTGCACCACCTCTTTAATTTCTTTAATCTCCTGCTTAATTTCCTGTTGTGATTCTTTAAATTTTTCATCCAAAACCTGGGTAATAAAATCCTTTAAACTTTCAAAATCAAACTCTTTTTTCTGGCTCTGCTGGCTGGGAGGCTGCTGTTCAGGCTTACTTGTGGGGGATCCCCCCCCTGCCGCCTTTCCTTCCTGTTTAGTTTGCTTAGAAGCCATCCTGCCACATAAGCTGGCTTTTCCAAAAAAAAGAAATTCTTTATCCCTTTCCTCCACCACAAAGTCCTCTAAAAAATTCCCCCAGCTTTAATCAGAGTAAGGGTGAGGTTGAAGCAAAATCAGACTTATTTTAAAAAGAGTTTTCTTTTCTCTTCCTCCACTTATTACAGACAATGCAACTTTGTAACTAGTTGAAATCCACTCTCGCTTTCAGCTCGTTAACACTGAAGCCAGGCGCCATTTTCAAGGGACTTTCACTCACTCACTCACTCTTCCGTTTTTAAAATAAGTCACAGGGCTAGTAATACTTGCAGTTTTTAAGGTTCAAGTTGTTCTTCCACCATGGCAATTTGAATTGCTTTATTTTCAGTAAAGAAAGGTTGCTCCTGATGCCTTGTTCTGCGCTAGGCAGACTCGTCCCATGCTGTCCGGAGTCTCGGCAAGCTGGAAGGGAGCCGCACCTGTTTCCTCCCCAGAAGCAAACGATAGCTATCTGGGGGCTCACAGGGGCTCAACCTGCTTCTCACCCACTCTCTTCCAAGATTCCTGCAGGATTCTGGAACTTCTGAGCCGCTTCTCTTGATTGAAGCGGCTCTAACAGGCAGCGGGGCTGGCGGTCCAGAAACGGGACCGTCTTTCGGCGTCGGGAGGCAAACCGGAAGTTTGACCATGGTATCATGCTGCACCGGTTGGAAGAGTTGGGGATGGGGGGGCACCGTGTTATGGTGGTTCTCCTCCTTTCTCTCAGACCGGTCGCAGTTTGTGTTGGCAGGGGGGCAGAGGTCGATCTCGAGGCCTCTTATATGTGGAGTGCCTCAGGGGTCAGTCCTCTCACTCTTTCTGTTCAACATTTATGTGAAGCCGCTGGGTGAGTTCATCCGTGGCTTTGGGGTGAAGTACCATCAGTACGCTGATGACACCCAGCTGTACATCTCCACCCCAGGCCACCCCAACGATGCCCTTGAAGTGATGTCCCAGTGCCTGGAGGCTGTGCAGATCTGGATGGGGAGAAACAGGCTCAAGCTCAACCCTTCCAAGACTGAGTGGCTGTGGTTCCCGGCATCCCGATATAGTCAGTTGACTCCATCACTGACTATTGGGGGTGAGTCTTTGGCCCCCTCGGAGAGGGCTCGCAATCTGGGAGTCCTCCTGGATACGCAGCTGTCCTTGGAGGAACACCTGACGGCTGTTGCCAGGGGGACTTTTTGTCAGGTTTGCCTGCTGATCCGCCAGTTGCGGCCCTTTCTTGATCGGGATTCCTTGTGCACAGTCACTCATGCCCTCGTCACCTCTCGCCTGGACTACTGCAACGCTCTCTACATGGGGCTCCTCTTGAAGGGCACCCGGAGGCTCCAACTGGTCCAGAATGCGGCCGTGCGGGTAGTCATGGGAGCTGCATGGCGCTCCCATACAACACCTCTCCTGCGTGAGCTGCACTGGCTCCCAGTGGTCTTCCGGGTGCGCTTCAAGGTGTTGGTCATCACCTTTAAAGCGCTCCATGGCATAGGACCTAGTTATCTTCGAGACCGCCTGCTGCTACCGACAGCCTCCCATCGACGGCCTCCCATCGACTTGTGCACTCCCACAGAGAGGGCCTCCTCGGGGTGCCATCAGCCAAATCCTCCTCCTCCTCCTCCTCCTCCTCCTCCTCCTCCTCCTCCTCCTCGTTGTGGCCCCGCCCTCTGAGCCTATCTCATCGGAGGAAGAAAGCTCCGAACATGAGGAAGAGGAGTCAGCCAGGCCTCCCTCTCCAGGCCCCTCCCCTCTGGCACTGTCTCAGGTGCCGGCCGAGGGAGAGGAGATTAACCAGGAGCCAGGTGTCTCGGATGAGAGCGAAGGAGAGCCGTCATTCCTGGATGCACGCCAACGAAGGCGTGATAAACGGTTGCAGCAGTTAAGGAGGCGTGCTAGGGATTAGAACTGAGTCACTGGACCACACCCCAGAGACTATTTAAGAGAGGGTGGTGGCTGGTAAAACTCCGTGACGAACAAAAACGAACTTTGGCTAGTCACTTGAACAACGTCTGAAGCTGCCGAAAGGGATATTGTTTTGCTGGACTATTTGCAATGCGTATGTAATTTTGTGTTATCTGTTGCAGTAAAAGCTCTTGGCAGACGGTGATTATATTGCTGCCAAGTTTGAGATAACGACCTGTGTGCGTGCCAAGTACTTTCTTAACCCTCGGCTGGCTGTGTTTGTGTGTGTGTGTGTGTGTGGACGGGGACAGATCACTCCTCCTCTCCACAATCCCCCCTCCCTTCTGGCACTGATGACGTTCCCTAGTCGGGTCCCAAAATGTCTGCAAAGAAAACCACCCAGCTGAGAGCGCGCCCGGAGCCTCCCCAGTTCATCCCTGAGCCACGAAGATTTCGGTGGTACCCACGTCAGTTTTGAACGCGCCATGAAAGTGCTTATCTTGGTCAAGGAGAACTTGATGTTGGTGTTCATCTCTTCGATGGTGTCCACCGCCACGCACCGGGGCAAGCCGGGAGCGAATTCAGTCCATCTTGGATTTCAAAAGGAGATATTAAATTGCATTCGCGGTATTGTTTTTATAGCAGCGATCACATTGGTTTTACAGGACCCCGTAAGGTTAGATCTCAATTTACGACCACAATCGGGACCAGAACCACTGTTGGTTAAGCGAGTCGGTCGTGAAGCGAGTTGTGCTTCATTTAACGACCATTTTGGCTGCGGCCGTTAAGCAAATCAAGCTTCCCCCTCCCTCCCCCACGTTTGGTAATCTGGAACGGTCACAAAGGGAAATCACACATTCTCCGGGGACTCTGCCCTGGTCATAAATGTGACGACCTGCATAAATTTGAGGAGGGATTGCCCATAAGGATGAGGAACAGTCATAAGGGCGAGGAACGGTCATAAGGGCGAGGACATGGCCTTTTTTTCAGAATCGTGGTCATTTTGAACTGTGGCTAAAGCTGAGGCAGTTTGTAAAAGTATTTGTAAGTCGAGGAGTGCAAGTTCAGTGGCTAATTTGAATAACAACCGAGAGGAAACCTCACTCCCTTCTAGCACTGATGATATTACCTAGTTGGGTAATGAAATGCCTGCAAGGAAAATAACAAAGCTCAGGACAAATGCAAACATTTCTGCAACTTGTCCTGGAAACAAATCAGCCATCCACAGACACACAGAGATAAATCACATTTACACACGTCTGCTGAATGGCAAAGAGGAGGCCACGGTGTGTGTGGGTGAGAGGGGGGGGGAAGAGAGAGATGGGGGGAGAGAGGGGGGAAGAGAGAGATGGAGAGAGATGGAGAGAGAGACGGAGAGAAAGAAAGAGATGGAGAGAGGGGAGGAAGAGAGAGAGATGGAGAGCCGGGGAGAGAGAGAGGGAGAGGGAGAGAGACGGAGAGAGGGAGAGAGGGGGGGGAGAGAGGGGGAAGAGAGAAACAGAGAGAGAGAGATGGGAGAGAGAGAGAGAGATGGAGAGAGAGAGACGAGAGAGAGAGAAAGAGACGGAAAGAGAGAGGGGAAAGAGAGAGAGAGAGATGGAGAGAGAGAGAGATGGGGAGAGAGAGAAAGAAAGAGATGGAGAGGGGGGAAAAGAGGGAGATGGAGACAGAGAGAGAGATGGGGAGAGAGAGAGATGGAGAGAGAGAGATGGGGAGAGAGAAAGAAAGAGACGGAGAGAGAGGGGAAAAGAGAGAGATGGGGAGAGAGAGAGACGACGAGAGAGAAAGAAAGAGATGGAGAGAGATGGGGGAAAGAGAGAGATGGGGAGAGAGAGAGATGAGAGAGAGAGATGGGGAGAGAGATAGAAAGAAAGAGACGGAGAGAGAGGGGGGAAAGAGAGAGAGAGAGATGGAGAGAGAGAGAGAGATGGGGAGAGAGAGATGGAGAGAGAGAGAGATGGAGAGAAAGAGAGAAAGAGAAAGAGACAGAAAGAGAGAGGGGAAAGAGAGAGAGACATAGAGTGAGAGAGATGGAGAGAGGGGGAAAAGAGAGTGATGGAGAGAGATGGAGAGAGAGACAGGGTGAGAGAGAGATGGGAAGAGAGAGGGGGAAGAGAGAGACGGAGAGAGAGAGAGATGGAGAGAGAGAGAAAGAGAAAGAGACGGAAAGAGAGAGGGGAAAGAGAGAGAGACATAGAGTGAGAGAGAGATGGAGAGAGGGGGAAAGAGAGTGATGGAGAGATGGAGAGAGAGAGAGAGGGTGAGAGAGAGATGGGAAGAGAGAGGGGAAAGAGAGAGACGGAGAGAGAGAGATGGGAGAGAGAGAGAGATGGAGAGAGAGAGAGACTGAGAGAGAGGAGGAAAGAGAGAGAGAGAGACGGAGAGAGAGAGAGAGAAAGAAAGAGACAGAAAGAGAGAGGGGAAAGAGAGAGAGACACACAGTGAGAGAGAGATGGAGAGGGGGGGAGAGAGAGAGAAGGTGTGCAAGCCCAAGTAGAAAAGGGATGGTTAGCCTTACCTGTAGGTGTCCTGCCTGTTTCTCAGCTCTTCCGTCCTGTGTCCCAGCAGGCAGGAGTTCTGGCCGTCATCACAGATCAATTTGCCTGGGAGAGATGAAAAGGAAGGAAAATGTCCTGGGCACTGGATTCAAATTGCGCGTGCCTTTCTCCCAGGGTTCACGGATCCACCGGCAAAGGGCGAGCCTAGCAAACTCAGGGAAAAGAACATCTTTTCCCTCCAAAGTGGACAGGGATGGGACAGGAAAAAAGGGGATGAGTTAGAAAGAGCAGGGGGTTGGACTAGAAGACCTCTAAGGTCCCTTCTCTATTCTATTCTATTCTATTCTATTCTATTCTATTCTATTCTATTCTATTCTATTCTATTCTATTCCGATTTGATTTAAGTTTCTGTCTCAGCATAGAAGACCTCGCAGGATTGTTGTTGGGAGATATAAAAAAAGGCATCACCTTCCCAACACCCAGGTAGTCCTCAACTTGCGACCACAATCGAGCCCAACATTTCCACCACTCAGCGAGGCACTTCTTAAGTGGGTTTTTTGCCCCATTTTACGACCTCGCTTCTCACAGCCGTTAACCGAATCACCACCGTTGTTAAGTGAGTCCCAGGATTGTTAAGCGAATCCGGCTTCCCCCTTGACTTTGCTTTGGCAGAAGGTCGCAAAAGGAGGATCGCGTGAGACACACACACCCAGGTACACCACGACCGTCATCAATACGAGTTGCCCAACGGACGTTAAGTGTGAAAAAAAACGGTTGTACGTTGCTTTTTTTCAGTGCTATCACGCGTTAGAATGGTTGCTTCCAACGCGTTGGGGATTTTTTTGGGGGGTTATTATTATTATTTTTTAAATGGACTAGATCAGGGGTGTCAAATTTTATGATTCGACTAATCATAAAAATACAACAGCATTAAATAACATGATCATACGAGACCGAACAGTGGAGCTAAATTTCCAGGATCGTAAATAGAAATGGCTGTCGGTTATAGATTGTTGATTGTAGGTTTAAATGGATTTACAGAGTATGTAAAATCCGGCATTAAACTCTAGTATTAACATACCGTATTTTTCGGAGTATAAGGTGCACTTTTTGGTCTCCCAAAGGGGGGTGAAAATATCTGTGCGCCTTATAGACTGAATATTGCCGAAGCCCCGCCCACCCGCCGGCTGTTTTTTGGCCTCTGCACGACCCATTTTCAGGCCTTTTTTCGGCCTTCTTCAGGCCTTTTTTGGCTGATTTTCAGAGCTTTTTTCAGCCTGTTTTTGAGGCTTTTTTCGGCCTGTTTTTGAGGCTTTTTTTGGCCTGTATTCGAAGCTTTTCTTTTGAGGCCTGAAAAAAGCCTCAAAAATGGGCTGAAAAAAGCCTCAGAAATGGGTGAAGAAGCCTCGAAAACGGGCCAAAAATGCCTCAAAAATGGGCTGAAAAAAAGCCTCAAAAACAGGCTGAAAAAAGCCTCAGAGAAATGGGCCAAAAAAAAAAAAAACCTGGAAAAAGGGCAAAAAAAACCTCAAAAAATGGGCCAAAAAGCCTCAAAAACGGGCTGAAAAAACTTGTTGATTTCCTCTACTAAATTTAGGTGCGTCTTATAGTCCGAAAAATACGGTAGGATGTTGTTTGTTTTCTATCCAGATCAGGCACTTACTTGAGGCCTCCTAATTGTAATCCAGTCCAATCCAGTCCTCCCGCAGCACTCTGCTGGCCGAAAACGGGCCCCGCGGAAGCCCCATGAGGGCCCCCACGCAGCCCGTTTTAGCCGGGAGAGGCACCGCAGGCCGGTCGTTTGATATTTCCAGGCCAGCTCTGCGGGCCAGATTTAAGCATCCTGCAGGCCGGATGTAGCCCACAGGCCTTGAGTTTGACACCCCTGGACTGGATGATCTCACCTGTGGCCTCTCTCAGCACCAGGGTCTGGTCGTCCTCGATCCATTGGTAGCAAGGAAAATGGAAATTTTGGCCATCCGGGGCGGTCAGCTGGACGAAGTCGCAAAACCATGAATCTTCTGGGAAAAACTGATAGGGTTCCTTATGGAGCCGGATGAAAATCAGGGCCCCCAGGTCACGATCGCTCGAGATTTCATAGTCATCCACCTAAGGAAAGAAGCGAATCCGTTGCAGAGAAGGGGACGCACGATCTGTTGGATATCAGCCTGTCGAGCACCCACTCGCCGAAACGAAAGAAATTAGGGGAAAAGTGAGGGAGCAGAGAGCCAGCTAGGCTGAGGACGCTCCTGGCATGCGATGGCCCAGTAGGCCCGTTTTTCTTTCTCACCTGGCTCCAGATCCTCTCTATGCATCTGGGGAGGGCAAAAACAGCCTTCCCCACCCCCTTGGAGGTCCTCCGGAGGCCCGAAACGGCTCATTTCCCAACTTCTGATTGGACAGGAAGTGACTTTTTTGCTGTCCCCCCGGCCTCCAGAGCCTCTCTAGGAGTCTCTGGAGGCTGGGGACAGCAAAAAACCATCATTTTTCACCCTCCCCAGATGCATAGAGAGGATCTGGAGCCAGGGGAGAAAGAAAAACGGGCCTTCCCCACACACCCCCAGGTCCTCTGGAGGCAGGAAACAGCCTGTTTCCCTACTTCGGGTGGGCCCAGAAGGCCCAAAAATCAGCTGGCCGGCACACACATGCGCGCCGGAGCTGAGCTGGCGTGCCCACTGATATGGCTATGCGTGCCACAGGTTTGCCATCATGGTCCTAGTATTTATTTTGGGACCAAAAGAAAACAAGACTGGGTCTTGTTTTCGGAGAAATACGGATAAGAAAGCAACCTGTTGTGACTCCGACCCCCGAGCCCGTCTTATCGGAGGGAGAAGGCTCCGAAAGCGAAGGAGAGGAGATGGCCAGGCCTCCCTCTCCAGGACCCTCCTCTCTGGCAATGCCTCAGGTGTCTCCCGAGGGAGAAGAGATTGGCCAGGAGCCAGGTATCTCCGAACAGTCGCAGTCGGACAGTGATGGAGATAAGTCTTGGCTGGATCCACGCCAGCGTCGGAGAGACAAGCACACGCAGCAGAAAAGGAGGCGTGCCAGAGATTAAGCTGAGTCACTGGACCACACCCCACAGGGGATAAAAGGGGGTGTGGTGGCCATTCAGGCTCTGTGACGGACAAAACTAAACAACCAGCGAGTCGCATTGTATCTCTGAAACCACGTTATCTGCCTGCCTTGGATTTAATACGGACTGGACTTGACAATTCTTTGACTTTGTGTATTTGCTTTGGTTTATCTGACGGAGGTGGAACACCTCCCTCTGTGAGTAAAGTTCTTGGCAAGCATACTGGGTTGCTGCCAATCCTGTTATCGAAGGAACTTATTGTCTGCAAGCTTTATTTAACCCCTGGCTGACTGTTTGCGTGCGTGTGTGAGACGGGGACAGAACGTGACGCTCGCAAGCAGGAAAGACCGGAGATAAATTGCAAGCGGAAAAGTTGCAAAGACTAAACATGGCTTCTTCGCCCACCGCCCTTGAGCCAAGGATGCAATTCTCTCACCGCTCCGGGGATGAAGTCCTTCCCGGTCTTATCCAAGAGCTGCCTGGGGCTCTCCCCCTTTAAGCCCACCAGCGTGATGGAGACGGAGTCGAAGGTGCCCGAACCCCAAAGCTTCCCGGTAGCGACTCGGACTTTGTACACAAAAGGTGAAGTGGCTTCCGGGCAGGATCGAGTGCTCCGTTGTCTCCAAAAATTCTTCTTTTCCTGCTTGGGAGGAGAAAAGGGAGATCGGTGATGGCAAGGTCGAATTTGGAAGAAAAAAAAAGAAGAAATACAGTGAATTTAGTTCGTATAAATAGTCATCGAATCAGAATCAGGATAGAAGGGACCTCTAGTCTAACCTCAAGCAATATTCGTTTTTCTCACCCTCTACATGTACACACCCAAACTAGACTGTGTTGTTTCTATGTGTCGTATAATATCTGGGAGTATATGCATGGTTTTGTATTTGTTTATTTATTTATTATTTTGTCGTGTTTTATGTAGTGTATTGGAGGAGGTGACCCTTTGAGAGCTGTCTGCAACGACAGCTCAGTTTAATGTATGCCGATTAGTGGACATTCAAAGTGATAAAAAAGTTATTTTATCTTCTATCTATCTATCTGTCTACCTATCATCTATCTACTATCCATCCATCTTCTATCATCTATCTACTATCCATCCATTCATCTTCTATCATCTAACTCTACTATCCATCCATTCATCCATCCATCTTCTATCATCTATCTACTATCTATCTATCCATCTATCTATCTACTATCAACCCATCTTCTATCATCTATCCATCTATCCATCCATCCATCTTCTATCATCTACTATCTATCTATCCATCCCTCTATCCATCCATCCATCCATCTTCTATCATCTATCTACTATCCATCTATCCATCCATCTTCTATCATCTATCTACTATCTATCTATCCATCCACCCATCTATCTACTATCCATCCATCCATTCATCCATCCATCTTCTATCATCTATCATCTATCTACTATCTATCCATCCATCCATCCATCTTCTATCTTCTATCATCTATCTACTATCTATCTATCCATCCATCCATCTATCTATCTACTATTAATCCATTCATCCATCCATTCATCCATCTTCTATCTATTTATCCATCCATCCATCTTCTATCATCTATCTACTATCCATCCATCCATCCATCCATCCATCTTCTATCAATCCATCCATTAATCCATCTCTATCCACTATCTACTGTCTATCCATCCATCCATCCATCTACTATCCATCCATCCATCCATCCATCCATCCATCTTCTATCATCTATCTATCCATCCATTCGTCCACCTTTTATCATCTATCTATCTATCCATCCATCCATCTTCTATCATCTATCTACATCCATCCATCCATCCATCCATCCATCCATCCATCCATCTTCTATCTACTATCCATCCCATTCATCCATCTTCTATCATCTATCTATCCATCCATTCGTCCATCTTTTATCATCTATCTATTTATCTATCCATCCATCCATCCATCTACTATCATCTATCTACATCCTTCCATCCATCCATCCATCCATCCATCCATCCATCCATCCATCTTCTATCATCTATCTACTATCTATCTAGCCATCCATCCATCCATCCATCCATCCATCTCTATCTACTATCCATCCATTCATCCATCTTCTATCATCTATCTATCTATCTATCTATCTATCTATCTATCTATCTATCTATATATCTATCCATCCATCCATCCATCCATCCATCCATCTATCTATCTACTATTCATCCAGAAGCTGTTCCCCTGGCTAATTGACCTCACTGTTAGGAAGTTTCTCCTTAATTCCAGGTTGTTTCTCTTCTTGATTCATTTCCATTCATTGTTTCTTGTCCTGCCTTCAGGTGCTTTGGAGATTAAATTGTCCCCCTCCTCATTTAGAAATTATTTATATTAGTTAATAAAGATTATTAAGTGCAAACAGAAATACAAGTAGTCCTCGGCTTACGACCGTGATTGAGCCCAAAATTTATGTCATTCAGTGAGACATTTGTTAGGTGAGTTTTATCCCCCTTTCTTGCCACCGTTGTTAAGTGAATCCCTACAGTCGGTAAACTGGTAACCCGGTTGTTAAGCGAATCTGGGTTCCCCACTGACTTTTCTTGTCGCAAGAGGGGATCATGGGACCTGGGGACATGGCGACCATCATAAATACGTACAACGGTCGTAAGTGTGAGAAATGGTCCTAAGTCACATTTTTCGGTGCCGTTCAACGGATTGCTTTTATTCAAAGAGGAGAATATATTTAATTATGATTATTTATTTTTTTGGGTAAATTTGGAAATCCCTTCTGAGTTTCGTCCTTGGGATGAAAAAACAAACAATCAAAACTCGGAGTTTGGTTTTGCCGATTAGACAATCGGTTGTTGTAAAAATGGCTAGTTGTGTACAAGTGTGTAAAAGTAAAAAAGTGGAGGAACAAGTGTGTAAAAGTAAAAAAGTGGAGGAACAAGTGTGTAAAAGTAAAAAAGTGGAGGAACAAGTGTGTAAAAGTAAAAAAGTGGAGTAATGTTATTTTGCGTGGGGCTAAAAAAAAAAAGAGTTGGAATTTATTTATTATTTTTTTCTCTGGTCTCTCCTATTTTCTTTCCCCCTCTTTTTCCTTCCCTTAATTTGCCTGTCTTTGAGTTTCCTTTGTAATTTTATACTTCGATGAAACAATAAAAGTCAGTGCCAAAAAAACCCAAAAATGATTGAGAAAGAAGGAAGTTTATCTCACTAGAATCTGAAGTTCCCAGGAATTTGGCCTCAAGGAGGCATCTCGAGTTTTGCAAGCTGGACCGGTTCGCGCTTGCCAAATAAAACTCTCTGCAATCCCCCGATTCCTCTTCAGGTGTCCTGTTACTCTTTTATATATATATAATATATATATAATATATAGGATTCTCCTATTACTCTCGCTCTCTGTGTATATACACGGTATATATTTAAGGAGCCTGGATAGCTCTGCAGACTAAGTACTGTAATTTAACATTCAGCTGTCTGCAATTAAAGTAAGTTCGAATCTCGCCAAGGCTCAAGGTTGACTCAGCCTTCCATCCTTTCTAAGGTAGGTGAAATGAGGACTCAGTTTGTGGGGGCAATAAGCTGACTTTGTATAAAATATACAAAAGTATGAAGGCTATTGCTTAACGCCTTGTAAGCCGCCCTGAGTCTCCGGAGAAGGGCGGCATATAAATCAATTTTTTTTTTAAAAAAAAGGAAGTTTAAGTAAGTTTGTCTCAGACGGTCATGGTAACTCTTTTTTTTTCATTCCATCTGGTCATTTTTAAGAACATTATCTATCTATCTATCTATCTATCTATCTATCTATCTAGCTAGCTAGCTAGCTAGCTAGCTATCTTTATCATCTATCCGTCCATCCGTCTATCCATCCATCCATCCATCTCTATCCATCTATCTATCTATCTATCTATCTAATCTATCTATCTATCTATCTATCTTTATCATCTATCTATCTATCTATCATCTATCCGTCCATCCGTCTATCCATCCATCCATCTCTATCCATCTATCTATCTATCTATCTATCTATCTATCTATCTATCTATCTATCTATCTTTATCATCTATCCGTCCATCCGTCTATCCATCCATCCATCTCTTCCATCTATCTATCTATCTATCTATCTATCTATCTATCTATCTATCTTTATCATCTATCCATCCATCCGTCCATCCATCCATCCATCCATCTCTATCCATCTATCTATCTATTTATCTATCTATCTTTATCATCTATCCGTCCATCTGTCCATCCGTCCATCCATCCATCCATCTCTATCCACCCACCTATCTATCTATCTTTTATCATCTATCCGTCCATCCATCCATCCATCTCTACCCACCCACCTATCTATCTATCTATCTATCTATCTATCTATCTATCTATCTATCATCTATCATCTATATTTATCATCTTTTATATCTATCATCTATATTTCATATCTATCTTTATCATCTATCTTCTATCTATCTATCTATCTATCTATCTATCTATCTATCTATTTATCTATCTATCTATCTATCTATCTCTATCCATATCTATCTATCTATCTATCTATCTATCTATCTATCTATCTATCTATCTATATTTATCATAATCTATGTTCTATATCTATCTATCATCTATCCATCCATCCATCCATCTATCCATCTATTATCTGTCTGTCTGTCTATCTATCCATCCATCCATCCATCCATCTATCTCTCTATGTGTGTGTGTGACAAATAGATGTAAGGAATGAGATCGGATGGACAGAATTAAGATCCGAAGAACTATGGACGGACGTTGGCAACATTGTACAAGGGGTAGCAGCCGGCACCACTGGATCCCGACTGCCCTTGAGAAGGCCAGATAGATCCTGAAGATGAAACTCAAACACTTTGGCCGCCTAATGAGAAGGAAGGAAAGACTCCCTGGAGAAGATCGAACATAAGAAATGGATGTTCTGCTTAAATTCAGGTAGTCCCCGACTTACGACAATTGAACCCAAAATTGCTGAGCGAGACAGTTGTTAAGCGAATTTTGCCCCATTCTGCAAACTTTCTCAACACCGTTGTTAAGTGAATCACTAAGTCGGGAACATGGTCGTTAATTGAATCCGGCTTCCCCCGTTAACTTTCCTTGTCAGAAGGTCTCAAAAGCGGATCACGTCGTGACCCCGCGACCGTCATAAATACGAGTCAGTGGCCAGGCGTCCAAATGTTGATCACTTAACCACGGGGAATGCGGCAACAAATCGTTTTGTGGGAAAAAAAACCCGTTCCCAACTCACTTTTTCTCAGTGCCGTTGTATCTTCAAACGGTCACTAAATGAGTCAAGGACTATCTCTACGTCTTCGCTCTGGATAGACCCGAGCCATGATGAAAAAGTCGAGCAGGATTGAGGCCGGTTCAATTCAAAGATATCAAGAGAACAAGGGCTGTACGTGAGGGCTACCCACCTGTCGCGACTCACTTAACGACCAACAGCTTTCATTGGCCGTCGTAAGTTGAGGACTGCCTGGTTTTTTTTGTTTGCAAAAGAACCCCAAAACCACAGATTAACATTACCCTCATTTCTCTTTGCAAACCGGCGCCTTTTCCTAATAACGGGAAGCCACATTCTTGAATTCCCCGGAATCCGGCGATTCTATTCAGCCTCGTTCGGTTCAAAGCGGGGTTGTTTAAAAAAGCCAATTTTCTCCAAGGGTCCCCACCGATGCCTGCCAAAATAAACAAAAAAAGGGGGGGGAGTCATTTTTCAAAAGATCCTCGGTCATCTGCGTCCATTTCCTGCTTTGATAAAACAATCCGCTCACTTTATCACCGTGGAAAAAGCCGAGCAACTTTCCCGCGGCTATAAATCATCCATTGTTGAGAATGTTTTCTCTCCCTCCATAATTTGTATTTTTGGGCTGAGAAGAAGCGATCAATCACGGGTTGTTGAGAATTATTTATTTGAATTTTGGCTGAGAAGCAAAGAAATCTTTTGACGCCGGGCTGCAAATGGGTGTTGTTGTTTTTTTTTAAAAACTTCCAGCCAAAATCTCATTTCTCCCAGCTGTTCGGCTCTTTTCTTTATCGCTTTCCATTATTCCTTTATCCTTGCGCAATATTTATTTAACTGGGGTCATTCTGGCCAGGAGGAAGAAAAACAAGAGAAAGCGATACCGGTTACAGATTAACAGAGTCGGAAGGGACCTTATAGGTCATCTGAAAAAGGCGTTGCCGAGGGCCCTCCTCAAGAAGCCTTCCCTGGACCCGGCTGTTTTAGCTAATTATCCTCCTGAGGGCCTCCATGGGGGGTGGGGAAGGCTGTTTTCGCCCTCCCTAGCCTCCAAAAAAGCCTCTGGAGCCTGGGGAGGGCGAAAAATGGGCCTATCGGGCCCACCGGGCCATCGCGTGCCAAAAGCAGGGGGAGCTCAGTGGGGTCGCGTGGGCATGCACAGGAGGGGCGGGGCGCATTGAATTATGGGTGTGGGCACGCACATGCGTGACACTCCCACATTCCCCCCACTTTTGGCACGTGACGGCAAAAAGGTTAGCCATCACTGTCCTAGGGTGTTGGCTATTCCTGCCACTTAGTATCATCTTATCAATTTTTTTAAAAAAAAATATTTTATTAATCATAATCCTCTTTTAAATTTAAATTTTAAACATACATTTTAATCTGTTTAATGGGGTATTTTACAATTTAGCCTAAATTATTTAATTTGTTTTAATTTATTTTAGATTTTGTATTTCCTGTGTTTTATCTTCTGGCTGTTCACCGCCCCGAGTCCTTCGGGAGAAGGGCGGTATAGAAATTTAATAAAATAAAATAAATAAAATAAATATTTCTATGCCGCCCACTCTCCGAGGACTCTGGGCAGCTTACAACAATCGACAGTATACTAAATCGCAGATTGCCCCCCAACAATCTGGGTCCTCATTTTACCCACCTCGGAAGGATGGAAGGCTGAGTCAACCACGAGCTGGTGAGATTTGATCCCCTGAACTAGCAGTCAGCTGAAGTAGCTGCAGTACAGCACTCTAACCACTGCGCCACCTTAGTAAGTACCCCTTCTATTCCCTCATCTATTCTATTCCCTCATCTAAGTCATTTATGAAGATGTTGAAGAGTCCTGGGCCCTAAGACGGAAATTCGTGGTACCCCATTGCGTACTTTCCTCCGTGTGGACGTGGTACCATGAAGGACTACTCGTTGAGTACGGTTTGTCAGCCAAATTGCTTTAAAACACACAGACACAAAAACAAAACCTTGCATGATGATAATAAGCTGGTTCCAGATGCGGGAGGGGAAATAATACACAGCTGTAGATAGTCCTCGACTTACGACCTTTCATTTAGTGACCGTTCAAAGCAGCAACGGGCACTAAAATAAAACCAAAAAAGGATGTTTTCTTCACCCTTATGACCGTTGCGGCTTCCCCCGGCGGTTACGCGATCCAAATTCGGACGTTTGCAAACTGACTCGTATTTATGACGGTCGCAGTGTCGTTCCGGGATCCCGGGATCGTCCTCGGGACACCCCTCCACCACCACCACCCCGAGTCAATGGGAAAGTCGGATTCACTTAACAGCGAAGCTTTCCGGAAGAGACCGGACTGCGATTCGTCGGAAATGGTTATGGGGTCTCCTGCTTGGGCAGGCGGGGTTGGACTGGATGACCTCCAAGGTCCCTTTCAACTCTGTTAATCTATCTATCTAACAACTGCGGCAAGAAAGGTTGTACAATTGTGGGGGGGTGGACGGGGACGGGGAATTCACGGTTTTGCTTAGCCACGGAAAGCTAAGGCTCCGTCGCGGTGTTACGTCAAGGATTACGTGTATTTGCCAAACCTCGATTCCGATTGAATTTAATAAGACTGGGTTGCAAATTCTTAAAAAGCTTTCAAATAGAGCCGAGGTGGCGCAGTGATTAGAGTGCAGTACTGCAGCTACTTCAGCTGACTGCTAGTTCAGCAGATCAGCGGATCAAATCTCACCGGCTCAAGGTTGACTCAGCCTTCCATCCTTCCGAGGTGGGTAAAATGAGGACCCAGATTGTTAGGTGGCAATATGCTATTTAGTATACTGTCTTTGGTGTAAGCCGCCCAGAGTCCTCGGCGTCATAGAAATATGACTAATAAAATAAATAATAAATATTTTTGTTTTGGGGGGGGGTTTGTTTTGTTTTTCTGCAGCATAAGCTGGTTGGCACAATTGGATTTTTCTCTGGAAAAATCCTCCACCCAGTTCTGCAAAAATGCCGTCATTGTTTTTTTAGTGGCGACCTCTTCGCGACTACAGATTTAAAGATTTGCACCTCCCTTGATAGACTAGAAGAGAATCACAAGAGTTGGGACCTCAAAGGTCTTGTAGTCTAACCCCTTGCTCAGGCAGGAAACCCTACAACACCCCCCCCCTCCTTCAGACAAACGGGGGTCAAATCTCTTCTTCCAAACTCTTCCGGTGTTTTATTTGAATTAAGAACTATGTTTCAATGTTAAATCGTTATATTTTTGGGGATTAGAGAGAGAATCTAAATTTGGTGAAGCAATAAAGGAAATAACGATTTAATGAGCGTTATACGAAGTTAATCATAAACGCGGGGAAGTTTTAGAAAGGGAAATAAGATTTTGAAATATCACGTATTTGAACTGTATGGTTAATAGTGAGATTTCGGTTTTAAGAATTGTGTAATGTTTGATGAGTTATTAATTGAATTGAGATTTACAGTGGATTGATAGATGGGTAATTGTTTCGATTAAGTAAATAAGAGCTAACTTTTTATAAGAGCGTAATAGGGGAGATAGGGGATTTAAGATTAAGTATTGTTAATATTGAAGACTTAGGGTAAGATTCGCAAAATGAATAATGATGTATGTATGTATGTATGTATGTATGTATTGATTGATTGATTGATTGATTGATTGATTGATTGGTTCGATTTATATGCCGCCCTTCTCCGGAGACTCAGGGCGGCTTACAATGCATTAAGCAATAGCCTTCATACTTTTGTATATCTATCTATCTATCTATCTATCTATCTATCTATCTATCTATCTATCTATCTACCTGCTTAGTAGGGCTTTCGGCCCCCCCTAAGCGGTGTTCTTTTTTTATACAAAGTCAGCTTATTGCCCCCACAATCCGGGTCCTCATTTTACCTACCTTCGAAAGGATGGAAGGCTGAGTCAACCTTGAGCCTGGTGAGATTTGAACTCGCAGTAATTGCAGGCAGCTGGCAGCTAAGTGCTACTTAACAGCACTTTAGTCCGCTGCGCCACCAAGGCTCCTTGGTGTTAATTGAATTAAGATTTAAGGGGGGTTAATAAAAAGGTAACTGTTTTGATGAAGTACATTTGAGTAAATTTTTTCTAGGATGTAATGTATTAGTTGAGATACGTGATTTAAGATTAGGAAATAAGCGTCACGGCAAAATAGAATCTATCAAATCTTATTAAAGATGATTAAAAAAATTTGTCGGATCAGGGCTCCGTTCCGAAAAGAGGTAATTTGTATGTTGGAAAAAATTTAAAAAAACTTTTTGCAAAATAAAAAAAAAAACACCTCTTGGAGCATTTACAATTGAACAATTCTTCTGAAGTTTACACTTTGCAAAAAAAAAAAGAATTTTCCAAAAAATGAAAGCAAGCTCAAAACTCTGGGTTTTTTTTTTGGTTTTTTTTGGAAAAGGGGGACATCACGGCAACACAACTCCGCCTCAAAAAACATCCCATCCACCCCATAAACCTTCCCAGCTGAACAAAGAGGAACTATTTTGCAAGAAAGTTGGGTGAACTCCAGCTGAAACGGAGTCGTGTTAATTCAGGCCGATGACCTCTTGAAATGCAAGGACGAAAAAGGCCTCTGAAAATATATATTTTTTTAAAAAAGTGGGGGGAAAAATTGTCATATGCTTCTAGAAAGCTCAGCCACGGGAGAGTAGGCAGTTCTCGACTTATAAACACTCGTTTAGCGACCGCTCCGAGTTACAATGGGCCTGAAACAAGGGACTGACGAGCAGGACCTCGCCCTTACGACCGTCACAGTCAGGGGAATCAAAATTCAGGCATTTGCATTTACAATAGTAAATTTGTATTTACAATCATCCCAGGGTCACATGATTGCCGCTCGTGACCGTCCCGGCGGGCTTTTGACAAGACAAGTCCGTAGGGGACGCCGGACTCGCTTAATGACTGTGATTCGTTTAACGACGGCATGGGTTTATCGAACAACCGTAGCCAAAATAAAAGGTCATAAAATCAGGCGCGACTCGCTTAATGACTGCATTGCTTAAGAATGGAAAGTATTAATGCCCCCCCCGGGTTTGTGGTCATAAGTCGAGGACTACTTGTAAGCCATCTGAATAGCCCAAAGTTTGTTTAAATATCTTAAATTTGTGACGGTAAGAACAACGTAGGATATAGAATATAGAAGAAGAGAATTTTACTCTTGTGTTTGAATTGGGACTGTGAGAAATACTAGGCCGGAGAGATTGCAAAGCTTATCAGCGATCAGAAATCCCGCAAACAAAAATTTTGGAATGTTATCAGGTTTTAAAATCAATGCAGGTAGTCCCTCGATTTACGACCGAAGTGCCAAGAAAAAAAAAAAAAAAGCCCCAAGCAACGAAAAGCAACTAAGATGATTAAAAAGCCTGGAGACAAAAACAAAAATGAAGCATTGAGGTCATTCAATCTAACCCTCCAGATTGAACCCATTCACCAGAATTAACCAGTGGAACAGCATGCCACCAGAAGTTGTGGGTGGATCCAACACTGGAGGTTTTTAAGAAGAGACCGGACAGCCACTTGTCTGAAACGGTACGAGGTCTCCTGCGTGAGCGGGGTTGGACTAGAAGACCTCCAAGGTCCCTTCCAAATCTATTCTGATTGATTGATTGATTGATTGATCACAATTGAGCCAAACATTTCTCTTAAGAAGCAAGACTATTCTTAAGTGAGTTTTGTCCCATTTTACGACCTTCCTTGCCACTGTTGTTAAGTCAATCGCTGCAGTTGTTCAGTGAGTCACACCGTCGTTAAGCGAATCGGGCTTCCCTCATTGACTTTGCTTATCGGACGGTCGCAACAGGGGAGAATCACATGACCCGGGACATTACGACCGTCATCAATACGAGTCAGTGGCCAAGTGTTTTAATTTCGAGCCCGTGTGACCATGGGGATGCGGCAACGGTCGTAAGTGTGAAACACGGCCATCAGTCTCTTTATTCAGTGCTGTCACTAAATGAACGGTGGTACCTCGAGGACTATTTGAAATAAGAAGTTGAAGATGTTCAACCAGGGGTGAAATCGAGCAGGTTCTGACAGGTTCTGACGAACTGGTAGCGGAAATTTTGAGTAGTTCGGAGAACCGGCAAGTACCACCTCTGGTTGGCCGCAGAGTGGGATGGGAATGGAGATTTTGCCCTATCCTTCCCCTGCCATGCCCACCAAGCCACGCCCACCAAGCCTCACCACGCCCACCAAGCCACGCCCACAGAACCGGTAGTAAAAAAAAATTGGATTTCACCACTATGTTCAACCTCACCTCACCCACCCAAAATAGAAGGAAATTGAGAGATGTAAAAAGAACCGGAAGAAAACTATTTGTCAACCTGAGAAAAACGTAAAATCCTCGGGCCTTACTAGAGCAAAGACCAATTGTATTATTATTTAGAAATAACTTTGTAAAGAAATGAAAGGAAACGAAGAGGAATGCGCTAACGCCGGGGAAATAAAATTTAACACGGTTTGGGGAGAATCACACAACCAAATTTGGGACACCCTTAACAAACGTTTCACTTAACCAGCGGCGGGATTCGCATTATGTTGCTACCGGTTCGCCGTGTGTCTGCTTTCCGCGCATGAGCTTTTCTCATGCGCGCGCCTTCCACGGCTCAAAAACATGCCTTAAATAGGATGGCATAGAGCCGGGGCAGGTGGCCGGACCCACTCGCGATTTCTGTTATCGGTACGAGCGAACCGATCCGAACCATGTTCCGAACCGGCTGAATACCATCTCTGACACTTAACCACACAAATGTTGGGGGCTCGAGAGCGGGGTCGTAAGTCGAGGACTCCCTGTGCGTTGGCGGCGGGATTCTCATGCGAAGAAACAGAAACCTTCCTTACCTCGGCTTGAATTTTGCGTAAAAATTTGACGGCCGCTCCGGAGAACCGTCCAAGATCTCTGCATCGCTTTGAAGTGCATTTTGGGGGCAATTGGAGGCAATTTAGGGCCCTTCAATAAGAAGCCGACATTCCTAAAGAGATAAAAAAAAACATTTTCCCCAGAGGGAAAAACAATTTTATCGTTCCAATGTTCAAATGCGAGGGGGTTAGAAATTGCAAAAATATATTTATTTTTTTTCCCCCTCCGGCTTTCCTGATGTGCTAACCAGGGATGACCCAACTCAGGTTATCGGTGTAGTAGTCCAGCAATTCACACCTGTGTCGATTGTGAGTCCTTTTTTCCCCTTTTTTCGGGGGGGGGGGCGGGGGGGAAAAAGAATTTTCTGGGCTTCAGAATAAGCCGAGAGCCGGACCGAAAAAAGGGACGATTAGTTGGGGAGTAAGGAACCCGAGTGCTAATCCTGCTTTAGGCACGTAAGGTAGCTGGGTGACTTTTTGGGCCAGTCCTCTGACATTTTTTAGGGAAATAAAAGGCTGCCGAGAAAACTGCACCGACTTGTCCATCTCTCTCGCCAGGGGCCAAATCTGACTTTAGGCACACACACACACACACACACACATATATATGACTTTGTATCCCGTATCATATAGCTGCGTTTTGCAACATTTTAGAAAATCATCTATCTGAGTTTTGCAACAATATGTGTGTGTGTATATATATATATATATATATATATATATATATATATATATATATATATATATCTATATATATATATCTCGAGGCAGTTAAAAGAAAGAAACAGCTGCGATCACACACATTGCTCCTAGAAGCACGAAGCCGAAAACACAAGCCTGAAGATGACAAATGAGACTTCGTCGAAACGTTGCCAAGAAACCTCCAATTTTACGCCGGAGAAAACCATAATAATAATAATAATAATAATAATAATAATAATAATAATAATAATAATCAAAGACCTACATACAAACACCCGCGAAAACCTCAGAAAACAAATATCTATATCTATATCTATATCTATATCTATATCTATATATATCGATATATCTATCTATATATAGATAGATAGATAGATATAGATATATATCGATATATCGATCGTATCACTGAGTTTTGCAACATTACACACATACATATATATATATATATATATATATATATATATATATATATATATCTGAGTTTTGCAACATTTTATAACAATTATATATCTGAATTTTGCAACAACATATATATGTGTGTGTATCATATCTAGTTTTGCAACATTATATATACCCAAATATATGTATATATTTATATGAGTTTTGCAACATTTTACACACACACATATCTGAGTTTTGCAATATAATACACACAGACACACAGACATATATAAATATCATATATCTGATATATATATATATATATATATACACATACATATATATTATTTATATGATTACACCTCAGTTGTAATCACTGCTCCAGCACTCAAACCAGCGATAAAAAAATAATATATTATTATTATTATTGGTTAATCTTTAGTGGGATTCACAGCTTTTGAGGCTGGTTAATAGCTCAGCAGCTCGAGTCCTAACCAAGGACCTAGGAACTGTTAAGGTATCGTTGGAGGATATAATAATAATAATAATAATAATAATAATAATAATAATAATAATAATAATAATATTATTATTATTATTATTATTATTATTATTATTATTATTTCAATTTATATACCGCCCTTCTCCTATTGGACTCAGGGCGGTGCACAGCCAAAGATAAAACACATACCAATACAAAATTTAAAATCAATTAAAAGAATTATACAGCTTTGGCCCACAATTTAAAACAATCCAATTAAAACCCAGACTCTATTCCATTCACAAAGTTACAACGGCGCTGAAAACAGCGACTTAAGGACCGTTTTCCCACCCTCACGACTATTTGCAGCCTCCCCGGGGGGGTGGCGGGGGGGTCACGTCTTCAAAATTCAGACGTTTGGCCGCCGTCTCATACTTACGTCCCTGAGGTCACGCGATTCCCCCTTTTAAGAGAACCGCTTCACCAGCCAAGCCAAGGGGGGACGCCGGATTACACTTAACAACAACCAACCGGGAGAGGGGGGGGGCAAGGTGAACGACGGCAGGGAATTCGCTTAACGACGGCGGCCCGAGAGGTCGTAAAACGGGGCCAAAACGTCACTGGATGAACGTTTCGCTGAGCGGCACGCGTTTTGGGGTCAATCGGGGGGCCGTAAGTCGAGGACTACCTGTCAAGGCAACCAGAGGAATGAAAAAAGGGAAGGCAGCCGTCCCTGTTGAATTTCCGCCTGTCCTGCAACTCCCAACCTGAAAAGGAAACTACTACCACTTTACCATGCCTCTTCTCCCTGCTTCCTTTCCCCCCAAACTGAAAGGACTCCGAGTCCCAAACTCCAGGGTCAGCCTGGAAAAAGGGAAGACCAACAAAGAATCACATATCCCATGCGCCGGAGCTCCGCAGCAATTCCCAATTTATCGCAGCGCCAGATCTTCCTTCTTCCCCCCACCGCTTCTCCAACCTGGCGCCCCTTGCAAAAAGAAAGTCGCCCGCCTCTCCATTACGCACCAGGTGGGGCAGAGGTGGGCGATCCTACAGCGGGGAGGGGGGGGTGAGGAGGAGGAGGAGGAGGAAACGCGGTGCTATAAATCCCCCCCACCTTCTCCCTCCCTCCCTCCCTGCGCGATCCTCCCAAAGTTAGGATCGGGCTGCGCGCAAGGAGAAAAAATACCTTCTTGCCTGGTTTTGGTTTTTTTTTCTCTCCAAGGGCGCCCGGGAATCCGCTGCAAGAGATCCGGAGATGCGCCAGCTGCAAAAAAAAAAAAAAAGCCTTTTTGGATCTGCGCTTCTGGGCGGCCCCAGAAAGCCTCGGCGGAGGGAGCTCCACCTGGGGAAGGGCGGGCCGCCTCCGCCTCTCGCCGCCCCCGGCAGCCCAGCCACCCCGGAGTCCTTGCCCGGCTTTTGAAAAGCAGCTGGGCGCCCTATCCTGCCCGCCCGCCCGCCCGCCCGCGCCCCGGGCAGCGCCATCCGGCAAAGGCGCAGCAGCAGCGGCCAAGCGCGAGGGCGCACCTGGGAGGGAGGGAGGGAGGGAAGGAGGAAGGCTGGGTGCCTCCTCCTCTTCCTCCTCTTCCTCCTTCTCCCCTTCCCCATCCTCCTCCTCCTCCTCTCTGCAAACCTCTTTCCCTTGTAGCACTGATGATGTTCCCTAGTTGGGTCTTAAAACGTCTGGAAGGAAAGCACCCAGCTCAGAGATCACTAAGGACCCCGCAGTTCCTCCTCATCCTCCCCATCCCCCTTCCTCCTCTTCCTCCTCCTCTCCTCCCCGTCCCCCCCCATCCTCCTCCTCCTCCTCTCTGCAAACCTCTCTCTCTTTTTGTACTGATGATGTTCCCTAGTTGGGTCGTGAAACGTCTGGAAGGAAAGCACCCAGCTCAGAGATCACTAAGGATCCCGCAGTCCTCCTCCTCTTTCCCATCCTCCTTCCCCCTTCCTCTTCCTCTTCCTCCTCTTCCTCCTTCTCCCCGTCCCCCCCATCCTCCTCCTCCTCCTCTCTGCAAACCTCCCCTCCCTTCGAGCACTGATGATGTTCCCTAGTTGGGTCATAAAACGTCTGGAAGGAAAGCATCCAGCTCAGAGATCACTAAGGACCCCGCAGTTCCTCCTCCTCTTCCCCATCCTCCTTCCCCCTTCCTCCTCTTCCTCCTCCTCTCCTCCCCGTCCCCCCCATCCTCCTCCTCCTCCTCTCTGCAAACCTCTTTCCCTTGTAGCACTGATGCTGTTCGCTAGTTGGGTCTTAAAACGTCTGGAAGAAAAGCACCCAGCTCAGAGATCACTAAGGACCCCGCAGTTCCTCCTCCTCTTCCCCATCCTCCTTCCCCCTTCTTCTTCCTCTTCCTCCTCCTCCTCTCCTCCCCGTCCCCCCCCATCCTCCTTCTCCTCCTCCTCTCTGCAAACCTCTTTCCCTTGTAGCACTGATGCTGTTCGCTAGTTGGGTCATAAAACGTCTGGAAGGAAAGCACCCAGCTCAGAGATCACTAAGGACCACACAGTTCCTCCTCCTCTTCCCCATTCCCTTCCTCCTTCCTCCTCTTCCTCCTCCTCTCCTCCCCGTCCCCCCCATCCTCCTCCTCCTCCTCTCTGCAAACCTCTTTCCCTTCGAGCACTGATGATGTTCCCTAGTTGGGTCTTAAAACGTCTGGAAGAAAAGCACCCAGCTCAGAGATCACTAAGGACCCCGCAGTTCCTCCTCCTCCTCCTCTTCCCCTTCCTCCTTCCTCCTCTTCCTCCTCCTCTCCTCCCCGTCCCCCCCATCCTCCTCCTCCTCCTCTCTGCAAACCACTTTCCCTTGTAGCACTGATGATGTTCCCTAGTTGGGTCTTAAAACGTCTGGAAGAAAAGCACCCAGCTCAGAGATCACTAAGGACCCCGCAGTTCCTCCTCATCCTCCCCATTCCCCTTCCCCCTTCCTCCTCTTCCTCCTCCTCTCCTCCCCGTCCCCCCCATCCTCCTCCTCCTCCTCCTCTCTGCAAACCTCTTTCCCTTCGAGCACTGATGCTGTTCCCTAGTTGGGTCATAAAACGTCTGGAAGAAAAGCACCCAGCTCAGAGATCACTAAGGACCCCGCAGTTCCTCCTCCTCTTCCCCATTCCCCTTCCTCCTTCCTCCTCCTCCTCTTCCTCCTCCTCCCCGTCCCCCCCATCCTCCTCCTCCTCCTCCTCTCTGCAAACCTCTTTCCCTTCGAGCACTGATGATGTTCCCTAGTTGGGTCTTAAAACGTCTGGAAGAAAAGCACCCAGCTCAGAGATCACTAAGGACCCCGCAGTTCCTCCTCCTCTTCCCCATCCTCCTTCCCCCTTCCTCTTCCTCTTCCTCCTCCTCCTCTCCTCCCCGTCCCCCCCATCCTCCTCCTCCTCCTCTCTGGAAACCTCTTTCCCTTCGAGCAATGATGATGTTCCCTAGTTGGGTCATAAAACGTCTGGAAGGAAAGCACCCAGCTCAGAGATCACTAAGGACCCCGCAGTTCCTCCTCCTCTTCCCCATTCCCCTTCCTCCTTCCTCCTCTTCCTCCTCCTCTCCTCCCCGTCCCCCCCCCCCCCTCCTCCTCCTCCTCCTCTCTGCAAACCACTTTCCCTTGTAGCACTGATGATGTTCCCTAGTTGGGTCTTAAAACGTCTGGAAGAAAAGCACCCAGCTCAGAGATCACTAAGGACCCCGCAGTTCCTCCTCCTCTTCCCCATTCCCCTTCCCCCTTCCTCCTCTTCCTCCTCCTCTCCTCCCCGTCCCCCCCCCATCCTCCTCCTCCTCCTCCTCTCTGCAAACCTCCCTCCCTTGTAGCACTGATGCTGTTCCCTAGTTGGGTCTTAAAACATCTGGAAGAAAAGCACCCAGCTCAGAGATCACTAAGGACCCTTCAGTCCTTTTTCCTCCTCCTCCTTCCATTTCCTTGAAGCACTGATGATGTTAGCTAGTTGGGTCATGAAACGTCTGGGTAAAATAACCAAGCTCAGAGAGCACCAAGGACCCCACAGTCGTCCTCCTCCTCCTCCTCTTCTCTAACAAAGTCAGGTTCAACATTTAGACAAGAAAAACCAAAAGCACAGGTACAGAATCACTGACACCTGACTCCATCGTCATAACCGCGAGAGGGATCATCTCGCCCTGGAAAAGTTGGGGCTCAACAGTGGCCGTAATTTGAGGACTTTCTTTCTTTCTTTCTTTCTTCTTTCTTTCTTTCTTTCTTTCTTTATCTTTCTTTCTTCCTTCCTTCCTTCCTTCCTCCTTTCTTCCTTCTTTCTTTTTTCTTCCTTCCTTCCTTCCTATCTTTCTTTCTTTCTTTCTTTCTTTCTTTCTTCTTTCTTTTTTCTTCCTTTCTTCCTTCCTGTCTTTCTTTCTTTCTTTCTTTCTTTCTTCCTTCCTTCCTTCCTTCCTTCCTTCTTTCCCTTTCTTTCTTTTTCTTCCTTCCTTCCTCCTTTCTTCCTTCTTTCTTTTTTCTTCCTTCCTTCCTATCTTTTTCTTTCTTTCTTTCTTTTTTCTTTCTTTCTTTCTTTCTTCTTTCTCTTCCTTCCTTCCTTCCTCCTTTCTTCCTTCTTTCTTTTTTCTTCCTTCCTCCTTTCTTCCTTCTTTCTTTTTTCTTCCTTCCTTCCTTCCTGTCTTTCTTCCTTCCTTCCTTCCTTCCTCCTTCCTTCCTTCCTTTTTTCTTTTCCTCCTTTCTTCTTTCTTTTTTCTTCCTTCCTTCCTTCCTTCCTTCCTTCCTTCCTCCCTCCCTCCCTCCCTCCCTCCTTTCTTCCTTCTTTCTTTTTTCTTCCTTCCTCCTTTCTTCCTTCTTTCTTTTTTCTTCACGCCTGGCCTTTTTGAGGGCTCGTGGGAAAATTTGTATCCCCAGGCAGAAAATACCTTGTGGACGGACCATTGTGATAAAAAGTGATTTGGGTGCGTGCCAGACAGCTGCCCTTTCCGAAATCAAATATTTCACCATCGGATAAATCTTATCAAACAACAGGAAAGACTTTAACCTCTTGATAAGGTGTAACCGGTTTCCTCTTATCTTATTTGAAGTTGGCCGCTTAGGATATTTTATTCGGTTTTATTGGTGGTAGGTAAATCATGCTATTGTCCTGCATTTAGAATGCCCATTGCATTTATTATTTAAAAGAGAAGATTTGTAACTCAGGGTTTCATAAGTCGCGGCGCTCGGCTTGATCTCTTTATTATTATTTTCCGCCGCCGCATATTATTTTACGTGAAAAAGAGAAAATACGATATTCCAAATTGGTGTAGTAATCTAAACACGAGTGGGCCTCAACGTACGACCGCAATTGAGCTCAACGTTCCCGGTTGCTAAGTGAGACAGCTGCGAAAGGATGGATTTTACGCCGTTCTGCAACTTTTCTTTGCCGCCGTCGTTAAAGGAAACACTGCCGTCGTTAAGTGAGTCACCGGGTTGTTCAGTGAATCTGGCTTCCTCCAGGTCACAAAAGGTGAATCACATGACACCCCCTGCCACCGTCATAAATACGAGTCAGTTGCCTGATTACTACTAGCTCATCCTACGTCTGGGATGAGATTCACAGTGTGGGATTCAGCCGGTTCGGTTGAATTAAATTGCTGGTTGGCTCCGCCACTTCCAGGAGTCCCCGCATGCCCCATTTTGGCTCCCAAGTAAGGGCAGGGAGGCCTCCTAGCCCCAAAACGGGGCACGGGGGTGTGTGGTACGACCCCCCGCTGCCCGTTTTCACTCCCAGGAGGCTTCAGGGAGGCCTAGGCCCAAAATGGGGTGCCGGGGGGGATGCGGCCCCCCATGGCCCATTTTTGCTCCCAGGGAGATACAGGAAGCCGAGAGCCACATGTCACACCCTCTGGCCACGCCCACCATGGCCACGCCCACCCAGCCGGTCATTAGGACAGAGAACCGGTCATTAAATTATTTGTAATCCCACCACTGGATGAGAAGCGAAACATCTTCCAAGGAAACCCAGAAAGTCCAGTTGACTTTTGAAACAAAAATGGTGGGAAAAAGTACCTTTGGGACAACCTTGGATGATGGAGAAGCTCCATAGACGTCCAGGGATGAAGCTCCCACAACTTCTGAAGGAAACGTCTCTTCCATCGGTGGACAGTTCTTCTGTCTACTTCATAAGACCAAGCAACACACAACCTCCTGGCGGAGATGGGGACCTTCACTTGAAGGCCATCAACTTTGACCGTTGATGCCAACCTGGAACGGAGGGAAGGATGAGCAAGAAGGTGTTGTGGTCCACCAACAGCCTACGGAGCTGGCAGCGGAGTCGGACAGTGAGGAGGCTGGGGAGG